AGATAGATAGATAGAAAGATAGATACAGAATAAGATAGATAGATATAAACAGAATTTGATAGATAGATAGAAAGATAGAAACAGAATAAGATAGATAGATATAAACAGAATTTGATAGATAGATAGAAAGATAGATATAGAATAAGATAGATATAAACAGAATTTGATAGATAGATAGAAAGATAGATACAGAATAAGATAGATAGATATAAACAGAATTTGATAGATAGATAGAAAGATAGAAAGAATAAGATAGACAGAATACTTGATAGATAGATAGAAAGATAGAAACAGATAGATATAAACAGAATTTTGATAGATAGAAAGATAGAAAGAATAAGATAGAATAAACAGAATGATAGATAGATAGATATAAACAGAATTTGATTGATAGATAGAAAGATAGATACAGAATAAGATAGATAGATATAAACAGAATGATAGATAGATATAAACAGAATAAATTTAAACAGAATTGATAGATAGAAAGATAGAAACAGAATAAGATAGATAGATATAAACAGAATTTGATAGATAGATAGAAAAAAGATAGAAACAGAATAAGATAGATAGATATAAACAGAATTTGATAGATAGATAGAAAGATAGATACAGAATAAGATAGATAGATATAAACAGAATTTGATAGATAGATAGAAAGATAGATACAGAATAAGATAGATAGATATAAACAGAATTTGATAGATAGATAGAAAGATAGATACAGAATAAGATAGATAGATATAAACAGAATTTGATAGATAGATAGAAAGATATAAACAGAATTTGATAGATAGATATAAACAGAATTTGATAGATAGATAGAAAGATAGATACAGAATAAGATAGATAGATATAAACAGAATTTGATAGATAGATAGAAAGATAGATACAGAATAAGATAGATAGATATAAAAACAGAATTTGATAGATAGATAGAAAGACAGAACAGAATAGATAGATAGATAGATATAAACAGAATTTGATAGATAGATAGAAAGATAGAAACAGAATAAGATAGATAGATATAAACAGAATTTGATAGATAGATAGAAAGATAGATACAGAATAAGATAGATAGATATAAACAGAATTTGATAGATAGATAGAAAGGTAGATAAGTAGAAGATAGATAGATATAAACAGAATTTGAGATAGATAGATAGATAGAAAGATAGATACAGAATAAGATAGATAGATATAAACAGAATTTGATAGATAGATAGAAACAGAATAAGGTAGATAGATAGATAGATAGGTAGAGAGATAGATAGATAGATAGATAGATAGAAAGATAGATACAGAATAAGATAGATAGATATAAACAGAATTTGATAGATAGATAGCAAGATAGAAACAGAATAAGATAGATAGATATAAACAGAATTTGATAGATAGATAGAAACAGAATAAGGTAGATAGATAGATAGATAGATAGGTAGATAGAGAGATAGATAGATAGATAGATAGATAGAGAATAAGATAGATATAAACAGAATTTGATAGATAGATAGAAACAGAATAAGGTAGATAGATAGATAGATAGATAGATAGTTAGATAGTGAGATAGATAGTTAGATAGATAGATAGACTGAATAAGAGATAGATAGAATTTGATAGATAGAGATAGATTAGATACAGAATAAGATAGATAGATATAAACAGATAGATAGATAGAATAAGATAGATAGATATAAACAGAATAAGATAGATAGATAGAAATAGAATGATAAACAGAAATAGATAGAAAGATAGAACAGAATAAGATAGATAGATATAAACAGAATTTGATAGATAGATAGAAAGATAGAAACAGAATAAGAGATAGATAGAATAAACAGAATTTGATAGATAGATAGAAAGATAGAAACAGAATAAGATAGATAGATATAAACAGAATTTGATAGATAGAGAAAGATAGAAACAGAATTTGATAGATAGATATAAACAGAAGATAGATAGATAGATAGATACAGAATAAGATAGATAGATATAAACAGAATAGATAGATAGAAAGATAGATACAGAATAAGATAGATAGATATAAACAGAATTTGATAGATAGACGGAATAAGGTAGAATAGATAGGTAGATAGAGAGATAGATAGATAGATAGAAAGATAGACAGAATAAGATAGATAGATATAAACAGAATGAGATAGATAAAGATACAGATAGAAACAGAATAAGATGATAGATAGATATAAACAGAATTTGATAGATAGATAGAAAGATAGATACAGAATAAGATAGATAGATATAAATAGAATTTGATAGATAGATAGAAAACAGAATAGATAGATAGATAGATAGATAGATAGATAGATAGAATAGATAGATAGATAGAATAAGATAGATAGATATAAATAGAATTTGATAGATAGATAGCAAGATAGAAATAGAATAAGATAGATAGATATAAGATTTGATAGATAGATAGATAGATAGATAGATGGAGATATAGATAGATAGAATGAGATAGATAGATATAAACAGATAGATAGATAGAAACAGAATAGATAGATAGATAGATAGATAGATAGATAGATAGATAGATAGATAGATAGATACAGAATAAGATAGATATAAAACAGAATTTGATAGATAGATAGAAAGATAGAAACAGAATAAGATAGATAGATGAATTTTGAGATAGATAGAAAGATAGAAACAGAATAAGATAGATAGATATAAACAGAATTTGATAGAAGATAGAAAGATAGATACAGAATAAGATAGATAGATAAACAGAATAGATAGAAAGATAGATACAGAAAGATAGATAAAAAAGAATTTGATAGATAGATAGAAAGATAGATACAGAATAAGATAGATAGATATAAACAGAATTTGATAGATAGATAGAAAGATAGAAACAGAATAAGATAGATAGATAGATAGAAAGATAGAAATAAGAATAGATAGATATAAACAGAATGATAGATAGATAGAGATAAACAGAATTAGATAGATAGAATAGATAGATAGAAAGATAGAAACAGAATAAGATAGATAGATATAAACAGAATTTGATAGATAGATAGAAAGATAGATACAGAATAAGATAGATAGATATAAACAGAATTTGAGATAGATAGATAGAAACAGAATAAGATAGATAGATATAAACAGAATTAGATAGATAGAAAGACAGAATAGATATAAACAGAATTTGATAGATAGATAGATAGATATAAACAGAATTTGATAGATAGATAGAAAGATAGATACAGAATAAGATAGATAGATATAAACAGAATTTGATGATAGATAGATAAGAAAGATAGAAACAGAATAAGATAGATAGAAAGATAAACAGAATTAGATAGATAGATAGATAGATAGAAACAGAATAAGATAGATAGATATAAACAGAATTTGATAGATAGATAGAAAGATAGAAACAGAATAAGATAGATAGATATAAACAGAATTTGATAGATAGATAGAAAGATAGAAACAGAATAAGATAGATAGATATAAACAGAATTTGATAGATAGATAGAAAGATAGAAACAGAATAAGATAGATAGATATAAACAGAATTTGATAGATAGATAGAAAGATAGAAAACAGAATAAGATAGATAGATAGATAAACAGAAGATAGATGAAAGATAGAAAACAGAATAAGAAACAGAATTTGATAGATAGAGAATAAGATAGATAGATATAAACAGAATTTGATAGATAGATAGAAAGATAGAAACAGAATAAGAGATAGATATAAAACAGAATTTTATAGATAGATAGAAAGATGAAAACAGAATAAAGATAGATAGATATAAATGAATTTGATAGATAGATAGAAAGATAGAAACAGAATAAGATAGATAGATATAAACAGAATTTGATAGAGAGAAAGATAGAAACAGAATAAGATAGATAGATAGACAGAATTTGATAGATAGATAGAAAGATAGAAATAGAATAAGATAGATAGATATAAACAGAATTTGATAGATAGATAGAAACAGAATAAGATAGATGAAGATATAAACAGAAATTTGATAGATAGAAAGATAAAACAGAATAAGATAGATAGATATAAACAGAATTTGATAGATAGATAGCAAGATAGAAACAGAATAAGATAGATAGATATAAACAGAATTTGATAGATAGATAGATAGAAACAAAATAAGGTAGATAGATATAAACAGAATTTGATAGATAGATAGAAATAGAAACAGAATAAGATAGATAGATAAACAGAATTTGATAGATAGATAGAAAGATAGAAACAGAATAAGATAGATAGATATAAACAGAATTTGATAGATAGATAGAAGAAACAGAATAAGATAGATAGATATAAACAGAATTTGAAGATAGATAGAAAGATATAAACAGAATAAGATAGATAGATATAAACAGAATTTTGATAGATAGATAGAAACAGAATAAGAAGATAGATATAAACAGAATTTGAAGATAGATAGAAAGATAGATGCAAGAATAAGATGAGATTAGATAGATAGATGAAGATAAGATAGATAGATAGAAACAGAATTTGATAGAGATAGAAAGAAGATAGAATAAGATAAGATATAAACAGAATTTGATAGATAGATAGAAACAGAATAAGAATAAGATAGATGATAGATAGAAGATAAACAGAATTTGATAGATAGATATAAAAAGATAGATAATAAAGAATAAGATAGAGATATAAACAGAATTTGATAGATAGATAGAAAGATAGAAACAGAATAAGATAGATAGATATAAACAGAATTTGATAGGATAGATAGAAAGATAGAAACAGAATAAGATAGATAGATATAAACAGAATTTGATAGATAGATAGAAAGATAAACAGAATAAGATAGATAGATATAAAAGAATTTGATAGATAGATAGAAAGATAGAAACAGAATAAGATAGATAAGAATTTGATAGATAGAGAAACAGAATAAGATAGATAGATATAAACAGAATTTGAAGATAGATAGATATTTAAGATAGAAAGAGAATCAAGATAGATAGATATAAACAGAATTAGAAAAACAGAATTTGATAGATAGATAGAAAGATAGAAACAGAATAAGATAGAAGATAAACAGAATTTGATAGATAGAATAAGATAGATAGATATAAACAGAATTTGATAGATAGAGGTAGATAGATAGATAGGTAGATAGAGAAGATAGATAGATAAAGAAAGATAGATAAGAATAAGATAGATAGATATAAACAGAATTTGATAGATAGATAGATAGAAAAGAATAAAAGATAGATAGATATAAACAGAATTTGATAGATAGATAGAAAGAATATAAATAGAAGAAGATAGATAGATAGAAACAAAGATAGAAAGATAGATAGATAGATAGATTTAAAACAGGTTGATAGATAGATAGAATACAGAATAGATAGATAATAGATATAAACAGAAGTGAGATAGATAGATAGATAAAAGAATTTGATAGATACAGATAGAATAAACAGAATTTGATAGATAGATAGAAAGATAGAAGAATAAAGATAGATAGATATAAACAGAATTTGAATAGATAGAAAGATAGAAACAGAATAAGATAGATAGATATAAACAGAATTTGATAGATAGATAGAAAGATAGAACTAAGTCAGATAGATAGATATAAACAGAATTTGATACATAGATAGAAAGATAGAACAGAATAAGATAGATAGATATAAACAGAATTTGATAGATAGATAGAAAGATAGACAGAATAAGATAGATAGATATAAACAGAATTTGATAGATAGATAGAAAGATAGAAACAGAATAAGATAGATAGATATAAACAGAATTTGATAGATAGATAGAAAGATAGATAAGATAGATAGATATAAACAGAATTTGATAGATAGATAGAAAGATAGAAACAGAATAAGATAATAAACAGAATTTGATAGATAGATAGAAACAGAACAGAATAAGATAGATAGATATAAACAGAATTTGATAGAAGATAGAAAGATAGTGGCAGAATAAGATAGAAGAATTTGATAGATAGATAGAAAGATAGAAATAGATAGATAAGATAGATAGATATAAACAGAATTTGAGATAGATAGAAAGATAGAAACAGAATAAGATAGATAGATATAAACAGAATTTGATAGATAGATAGAAAGATGGATACAGAATAAGATAGATAGATATAAACAGAATTTGATAGATAGATAGAAACAGAATAAGATAGATAGATATAAACAGAATTTGATAGATAGATAGAAAGATAGAAACAGAATAAGATAGATAGATATAAACAGAAGACAGAAAATAGAATATCAATAGATAGATATAAACAGAATTTGATAGATAGATAGAAAGATAGAAACAGAATAAGATAGATAGATATAAACAGAATTTTAGATAGATAGAAAGATGGAAACAGAATAAGATAGAGATAGATATAAACAGAATTTGATAGATAGATAAGATAGATACAGAATAAGATAGATATTTGATAGATAGATGAAAGATAGAAACAGAATAAGATAGATAGATATAAACAGAATTTGATAGATAGATAGAAAGAAAAACAGAATAAGATAGATAGATATAAACAGAATTTGATAGATAGATAGAAAGATAGAAACAGAATAAGATAGATAGATATAAACAGAATTTGATAGATAGAAAGATAAACAGAATAAGATAGATAGATATAAACAGAATTTGATAGATAGATAGAAACAGAATAAGATAGATAGATAAACAGAATTTGATAGATAGATGAAAAGATAGAAACAGAATAAGATAGATAGATATAAACAGAATTTGATAGATAGATAGAAAGAGGAAACAGAATAAGATAGATAGATATAAACAGAATTTGATAGATAGATAGATAGAAACAAAATAAGGTAGATAGAGATAAAACAATTTGATAGAAGAGAAACAGTATAAGATAGATATAAACAGAATTTGATAGGTAGATAGATAGAAACAGAATAAGATAGATATAAACAGAATTTGATAGGTAGATAGAGAGATAGAAACAGAATAAGATAGATAGATAGATAGATATAAACAGAATTTGATAGATAGATAGAAACATAATAAGATAGATAGATATAAACAGAATTTGATAGATAGATAGAGAAAGATAGAAACAGAATAAGATAGATAGATATAAACAGAATTTGATAGATAGAAAGATAGAAACAGAATAAGATAGATAGATATAAACAGAATTTGATAGATAGATAGAAAGATAGAAACAGAATAAGATAGATAGATATAAACAGAATTTGATAGATAGATAGAAAGATAGAACAGAATAAGATAGATAGATATAAACAGAATTTGATAGATAGATAGAAACAGAATAAGATAGATAGATATAAACAGAATTTGATAGATAGATAGAAAGATAGAAACAGAATAAGATAGATAGATATAAACAGAATTTGATAGATAGATAGAAAAGATAGAATAGAATAAGATAGATAGATATAAACAGAATATAGATAGATAGAAAAGATAGATATGAAGAAGATAGATATATAAACAGATATTTGATAGAAAGATAGAAACAGAATAAGATAGATAGATATAAACAGAATTTGATATATAGAATCAGAATATAGATATAAACAGAATTTGATAGATAGATAGAAACAGAATAAGATAGATAGATATAAACAGAATTTGATAGATAGATAGAAAGATAGAAACAGAATAAGATAGATAGATATAAACAGAATTTGATAGATAGATAGAAAGATAGAAACAGAATAAGATAGATAGATATAAACAGAATTTGATAGATAGATAGAAAGATAGAACAGAATAAGATAGATAGATATAAACAGAATTTGATAGATAGATAGAAAGATAGAAACAGAATAAGATAGATAGATATAAACAGAATTTGATAGATAGATAGAAACAGAATAAGGTAGATAGATATAAACAGAATTTGATAGATAGATAGATACAGAATAAGATAGATAGATATAAACAGAATTTGATAGATAGATAGAAAGATAGAAACAGAATAAGATAGATAGATATAAACAGAATTTGATAGATAGATAGAAAGATAGAAACAGAATAAGATAGATAGATATAAACAGAATTTGATAGATAGATAGAAAAAGAAACAGAATAAGATAGATAGATATAAACAGAATTTGATAGATAGAAACAGAATAATGTAGAAGATAGATAGATAGATATAAAGATAGAGAGATAGATAGAAATAGATAGAGATAAAAGATAAGGATAAGATAGATAGATATAAACAGAATTTGATAGATAGATAGAAAGATAGAAACAGAATAAGATAGATAGATATAAACAAGAATTTGATAGATAGATGAAAAGATAGAAACAGAATAAGATAGATAGATATAAAAGAAGAATTTGATAGATAGATAGAAAGATAGATACAGAATAAGATAGATAGATATAAACAGAATTTTGATAGATAGAAACAGAATAATAAAGAAATAGATAAGATAGATAGATAGATAGAAATAATGATACAGAAGATAGAGAGATAGATAAAGAATAATGATAGATAGAGAAAGAAAAAGAATAAGATAGATAGATATAAACAGAATTTTGATAGATAGATAGAAAGATAGAAACAGAATAAGATAGATAGATACAAAACAGAATTTGATAGATAGATAGAAACAAAATAAATAGAAACAGATAGAAAGATAAGATAGATATAAACAGAATTTGAGATAGGTAGATAAGATAGAAACAGAATAAGATAGATATAAACAGAATTTGATAGGTAGATAGAAATGGAAACAGAATAAGATAGATAGAATTTGATAGGTAGAGAAGATAGAAAGAAAGATAGAAAAACAAGAATTTGATAGATAGATAGAAAAGAATATAGATAGATAGAAACAGAAAAGATAGATAGATAGATAGATAAAAAAAGAACAAAACTGATTGATAATAACCAGCTCAGATAAAGGAATAGAAAGGAAAGAAAAATATAGAGAGAGAGATGAAGAAAGGACAACTGAGAAGCTGAGATAGATTGATGAAAAAAAGGAAAAGAAGAAAGAGAGAGAAAAGTTAAAAAAGAGAGCTAGAAACAGAAAGATAGAGATAGAGAATAAAAAAGAACAAATGAGATAGATAAAAAGAGATAGATAGAAGAAACAGAAAAGATAGATGATAGATACAGATAGATAAAAAGGATGATAAAGAGCTGAGAATGAAAGAAAAAAAAAAAAAGAGACAGAGAGATGGATAGGTAGTGAGAGAAAGAAAAAAAAGGCTGAGATAGAGAGATAGATAAAGAAAGGACTCTGATAGATAGATATAGACATAAAACCAGAAAGAAAATGCTGAGATAGGGAGATTTAAAGAAACAAAAATGCTGAGACAGATAAAAAAAGAAAAATAGTATATAGATAGATAGATAGATAGATAGATAGATAAAAAAAAGAAAGAAGCTGATGGAAAGAAAGAAAAAGAAAGAAAAGGAAAGACAGAGAAGATAGAGAGAGAGAAAAGAAAAGAAAAAAAAGAGGCTGAGAAAGAAAGAAAGAAAGAAAAGTGTCTGAGAGAGACAGACAGATAGGTAAAACAGAGAAAAGAAAAGAAAAAAGATAATAAAAAAAGAGACTAATAGAGAGACAAAGAGAAAAGAGATAGAGAGAGAGAGAGATAGAAAGAAGAGAAAGAAAAAGGTGAGACAGAAAGAAAAAGAAAAAAGACTGAGATAGAGAAAAAAAGAGATGATGAGATAAAGAAATAAAGAAAGAGGCTGAGATAGATAGAGAGAAAGAAAGACAGACAGAGGCCAGATAGAGAGAGAAAAAAAGTGAGAGGAAAAGAAGAAACAAGCTGAGATAGGTAGAGAAATAAAGAAAGAGGCTGAGACAGACAAACAGCTAGAGAGAGAGAGAGAGAGAGGAAGAAAGAAAGAGGATGAGATAGATAGAGAGACAGATAAAGAGAGAGAAAATGGCCGAGATAGAGTGATAAAAAGAAACAAGCTGAGATAGATAGAGAAATGAAGAAAGAGACTGAGGTAGGTAAAGAAAGAGGCTGAGACAGACAGACAGAGAGACAGAGAGAGAGAGAGCAGGAGAAAGAAAGAGATTGAGATAGAGTGATAGAAAGAGTGATAGAGAGCTGAGATAGAAAAAAAAACAAGCTGAGATAGAGAAAGAAAGAGGCTGAGATTGATAAAGCAATAAAAGGGCTGAGATAGATAGATAGATAGATAGATAGAGAGAAAGAGAGAGAGTGAAAGTGGTCAAGATAGAGTGATAAAAAGAAAGAAACAAGCTGAGATAGATAGAGAAAGAAAGAGGCTGAGATAGATAAAGAAAGAAAAAGGCTGAGACAGACAGACAGACAGAGAGAGAGAGAGAGAAAGAGGCTGAGATAGAGTGATAGAAAGAAAGAAACAAGCTGAGATAGAGAAAAAATAAAAAAAAAAAGGAGGATGAGGATAGATAAAAAGAAAGAAAGACAGATAGATAGCCATATATATATATATATATAGATAGAGAGAGAGAGAGAGAAAAAGAGAAAGAAAGAGAGCTGAGTGATAGAAAGAAAGAAACAAGCTGAGATAGAGAAAAAAAGAAACAAGCTGAGAAGAGAAATAAAAAAGGAGGATGAGATAGATAAAGAAAGAAAGAGGCTGAGATAGATAGCCATATATATATATATATATATATATATATAGAGAGAGAGAGAGAGAGAGAGAGAAAGAGGCCGAGATAGAGTGATAGAAAGAAAGAAACAAGCTGAGATAGAGAAATAAAAAAGGAGGATGAGATAGATAAAGAAAGAAAGAGGCTGAGATAGATAGCCATATATATATATATATATATATATATAGAGAGAGAGAGAGAGAGAAAGAGGCTGAGATAGAGTGATAGAAAGAAAGAAACAAGCTGAGATAGAGAAAAAAAGAAATGTTTGAGATAGGTAGAGAAATAAAAGGAGGATGAGATGATTTAAAGAAAGAAAAGGCTGATAGATAGATATATATATATATATATATATTCTGATAGAAAGAAAGAAACAAGCTGAGATTCTGAGATAGAGAAAAAGATAGATGCTAAGATAGATAGACAGAAAGACAGACAGATAGAGAGAGAGAAAAAGAAATAAAGAGGCTGAGATAGATATGTTGGTAAATGGACATTGAGGCGATTTTCAAGTAACAAGCTGTTACTTTATTGATTTCTATTAAGACTTCTATGCATTTGCAAATGCAACTGTGCCCTATAATTTATGTCTACTTCGACACAGAGATTTTTACTTCTTTTCCTATTCTATGACTTCTTGTTCTTATTAGCAAGAATTTGCATCCAATTTATCTTTCGTAAAACACACAGATGGCAAAATTATAATTCAGCACATTAATGTCCTTCTTTGGAGAAGTGGACACACTAAACATAATGCCAAGGCCTGTTTTAAGCATTTAGGCTTGTGTGTCCACAGATAGCAGCTGTAGAAGGTTGACTTGTATTACTAGTTATGTGTTTTGTAAGTGTCAACCCACAACGTTTGGCCTCTTTCACAGGGATCAGGTACAAAGAAATAAATCCAGAAAGGTCAAAACACGAACATGTCTTTAATTCAGTAAAAATCTAACACAAAATCAATTTTATATCTTTTGTAGATCTGTGTCCGAATTTTTGTTGTCGGTATTTGGTCAGTAACTTATGGTAGAGAAAATTATGTTTCTCACAAATACATACCTTGGCAGTAGGTGGCTGTAGTTAGTGTTCAATCCCTGGTACAAGCCAGTTGTTATGGTTACATATTTGTCAGTGCTAGCAGTTGTTTGTGCAGGTGGAAGACAACAAAATACAGTTTTGAATTCAGAATTATCTTTCTCCTATACTGGTAGCTAACGATGACTAGAGAATCCAGGCTGCCCTGCTATTGGATCCCATAACTGGGTGAGAAATAATGGATTCATACCTCAAGCTTTTTTTTTTTAATCATTTCACCCCAAGTTCCTTTGCCAGTGGAAGATGTTCCCGAACATAGACAACAAAGACAAGCATTTAGACATTAGAGTCATTCCAAAAGAGAGTAATAGCCAGGAACAGAGAATTCAGTGGATGAGATTGAAGAATTCAGATTAGTATCACAGAGAGCTAGGATGTCTAGAGAGGGTTTCAAGAAGAATGCTTCCATACTGCAGAAATTGGTACAAATGCCACAAATGATAGAGAAAGAAACGTTGAGGGGTTTAGGTGTTTTTTGACTTGCTCGCTTAGTTGTATTTGGTTTATTACTTTTGGTCATGATATGTTTTGTTACAGAATGTGAAGGCCAGGGTCAGAATGGCCAGCGATCTGTGTCTGAATTTTTGTTGTCAGTATTTGGTCAGTAACTTATGGTCAAGAAAATTATGTTTCTCACAGATACATATCTTGGCAGTAGGTGGCAGTAGTTATTGTTCAATCCCCAGTACAAACAAGCAGATACGGTTGCATATTTACCATTATGTTGGATGTGCAGGTGGAATAATAGCTACAGGCTTAGAAGAGAAATCAACGAGCCGAGTTCAAATTCCTGTCAAGATCATTAAATTCTTTTTTGCACAAATACCCTTGGAAAAGGTATGAATCCATTACTTCTCACCCAGTTATGGGAACCAAAAGTAAGGCAGCCTGGATTCTCTAGTCATGGTTAGCTACCAGTATAGGAGAAAGATAATTCTGAATTCAAAAATGTATGTGCCTCTGGTGGGGCAATTACTGGAACTATACCTAAGGTTCTCTTTGTATAGTTGCAATATAAGCCATAGGTTGGTTCAATCCCTGGTACAAGCCAGTTGAAATGGTAACATATTTGCCATTAGAGCTAGAGGCTGGATGTGCAGATGGTGTAATAACTATAGGCGTAGAAGAGATATCAACAAGCTCAAATTCATTACATTTGCTCTTGTACAAATAACCTTAGGAAAGGTACGAAACTTTCTCCCCCACTATGGGTTAAATAGTAGGGAAGACTGAACTCTCTAGCAGTAGTTGGAAACAAGTGGTTGGCCCTTGTGGGGCATATACACATGAAACATAATTAAGGTTTGCTTTGCATAGATGCAGCATGAATCATAGATCAGCTCTGTGGGTGTTGAAGCAAAACAAATGAGCCTGAGCAGATGGATATACTTAGCAACAAGCAGCCATGTTGAAAATAAGAAGTAGCACTGACTTGCAATGTGTATTCAAGTTGAAAGAGCTCTGATGATGCTAGAGGTTAGGGTTCAATCCCAGGTAAAAAAACAAATCAAGAAGAAAGAACTTTATAATGTAACTAGCAGCATGGCCCGGCGTTGCCCGTGCTTGATTCAAAAATCATACAACTCATACAGCAATCACTATCACTTGACTTAAAATATTTTTGCCCTTCCTTGCCTTTAAAGGAGTTCCCTTTGCCGTACTGATATTGCTACATGTCTTACTTCTTGCCTATCTCACACTGCGAATTTTTTCTAAGCTCTATACTAAACATTAAATCTGTTACGAAAAAAAGAACTAAACAAAATGAACACAAAACGATCAGCTTTAAAAAAGGACTCAAAACTGGAAAAACCGAATGAAAAAAGAATGTTAACAACAAATACTTTTTCACACCCAACCCAGTTCTGCGGAATCAGAATCAATGTTGAGTTTAAGCAATTGAATGAGCCAATCGGAGTAAAGTGCCATGCAGATTTAAATTTTTCCCACTTGGGACGAATGCTGCTATTGATTTTTTTTTTGCATGTTAGCATGCTAGTTAACATTTGTATCAGTCAGCTGTTGGCTCTCACGCTGGCCAATAGAATCTTCCTAGAAAATGGCCACAAACTACATGAAAACTGCCGTAGAAGCATGAAAAAATCGATTATTTCCACTATCAATGGGAGTTGGGAAATGCAAAGTCAATCTTGGCCTCCCCGCTAACTTGGAGCATGTTCATGTAAATTTTGGTGCAAATCCGTCAAAAATTGCAGCCGTGCATTCATCACACACACACACACACACACACACACCCTGCCTTTTATAGATAGAGATTTGACAAAGCATCAATATGAGCTTAGATATATTGGATTGAAAATATTCATATCTAGTAAATATAAAAGGCATGATGCTTTTTTTATTGCTCAATATACATAACACTTAACATATTGGATGAAGAGGATTCTGAAATTATAGCACCTTCAATACATTTTTGCCTTATTAAATCACTTGTGCCTTTAATCAAACCTGGATTCTTTAAGTCAAAATTATGAACATATTTATTAAGATAAATGACTAATTCAATGGGTGGGTTGTTTTGTAAATATTTCTTCAATATTCATATAAACTTTTTTTTGAATTTCTAATTTTGGGTGCCAAAAAGATGTAGCATTTTGATGTATGTGAGAATGAAAAAAAAAATAGAAAATTTAATAAACTGGGACTACTATTAATATTACTACTAATAATACTAGTGGAAATAAAGCAATTGAAATGAATATGAAAGAAATACTAATGAAAAATGAATAAGAATTGACATGGCTTCCTCTAATAATAATAATAAAATTCAAGATAATATTACTATTAATAATACTAGTGGAAATAAAGCAATTGAAATGAATATGAAAGAAATACTAGTGAAAAATGAATAAGAATTGACATGGCTTCATCTAATAATAATAATAAAATTCAAGATAATATTACTATTACTACTACTAGTGGAACTAAACAATTGGAAATGAAAGAAATAAATGAAAAAATGAATTGAAATGAAGCTTCATCTAATAATAATAAAATCAAGATAAAGAAATACTAATACTACTAGGAAATAAAGCAAATTGAAATGAAATGAAAGAAAACTAATGAAAAATGAATAAGAATTGACATTCATCTAATAATAATAATAAAATTCAAGATAATATTACTACTAATACTACTAGTGGAAATAAAGCAATTGAAATGAAGATGAAAGAAATACTAATGAAAAATGAATAAGAATTGACATGGCTTCATCTAATAATAATAATAAAATTCAAGATAATATTACTACTAATACTACTAGTGGAAATAAAGCAATTGAAATGAAGATGAAAGAAAATACTAGTGAAAAATGAATAAGAATTGACATGGCTTCATCTTAATCTAATAAAATAAAAAATACTACTAATAGATTGGAAATATTTGAAATGAAGATGAAAGAAATTCAAATAAGAATTGACAAGGCTTCATCAATCTAAAAAGAAGATTTATATAAGAAATTCAAATAACATTTAACTGGAAATTTAAATGGTTTCAGCCAGAAATATTTTGTGCTGAATTTTTTAATAGATTCCAGAAGAATAAACTGAACAACTCTAAATGCAAACATCCTGTAAGCAAAGAGCTAATCCCTATTAAAGGGAATAAAATCATTATTGAAACTAAGGAATTAATTTACATTTCACATGACCTAATTTTTTATATCCAACATCAATCAGGCTGTCATAAAATGACTAGTTATTACTTAAGATACAAAAGTGGCATAATAGTTATTGATATGAAAAAATAGAATTAGAGTTCAAATTCTAGTTGAAACTGTTACTTTCACTTTGCACTACTGGTCTTGGAAAAGGCATGAATCCATCTTTTTCCCCATCCCCAGGTATGGAGTGTTTGAAGAAGAATGATTCCAGACTGCAGAAATTGATACAAATACTACAAATAAAGGAGAAAGAAAGGTTGAGGGGTTTAGATGTTTTTGGCTTGCTGGTTTAGTTGTATTTGGTTTATTACTTTTGCTCATGATATGTTTTGTTACAGAATGCAAAGGCAATTGGCTGGTTTGCCTTGTGGGTGGAGTATGTTGACAGTGGTGAATTGCTTTTGTCTGGGTTTTGAATATAAGTTCAAAACAGCATGAATTCAACAGAGGGCCTCAAGAATTCTGAAGCGTTGATATGCCTCCCACACCCAGGTTTGCAACTGGCTAATACACACCTGTGGAAGGATGCTGAGCCTATCATATGACACACTTTTTCTGTAACATTATTCCTCCTATTGCTGCTAAGAATTCAAGGCGGCATTTTTAATAAAACAAATATCGAATGTAATTGACCCTTTTCATTGATACCATTTTATGGTATCAATGTGGGGATCCTGAGATGGCATAGAATGCA